AAGAAACCTAACTGGTAACGATCCGAGGAAAATTCAACTCACTATAAAATACAATGATGAACAACTCCACATTTGARCAAACATCAGAAATGGKCGAGAAACGCGACTTTGATATAACAGTGATAGTTATCAATGCTTTCAGTAGTGTCTTGGCGACTGTTTTGAACCTSTTGRTCATCGTGACTTTMRTCAAGACGCCATCTTTGCGAACACCTTCGAACATTCTTATTCTTAGTCTCGCCATCACTGACTTTGGTATTGGTGCTTTGGTTCAGCCTCTTTACTCTAAAGTCATATTTGCAAATGGCGGATCAGTAAGGACACAGTTTCACTTCCTTTTGTACTCAGTTCAGTAGTTGGAAACGTATTATTCTCTGCATCGCTTTTGACAATAACTGCCATTACCGTCGACCGATTGCTTGCTCTCCATTTCAGTCTAAGATACAAAGAAATTGYTACAAAGAGGCGGACTTCGATAGCAGTTATAATGATTTGGACATTCAGTGTGTCATTGATTTGTATACCATTGATAATTTCGGATTACGCCGAGGGAATTTCGCAAATAAATACCTTTTTCTTTCTTTTGCTCTTATTCATAAACATTGCTCTAATGCTGAAAATATCTTTTWTAATCAATCGACATGCAGTACAAATTCGACTTCAACAACAGGCAATGAACGCACAGCCTGGTGCAGCAWGGAACATTAAGAGATCTGTGAATATAATGTATTATATTCTTGGAGCATTTTTCCTGTGTTATTTCCCATGTGTTTTTCTTTAACATTATTGTTGAATACYTTTCATTGCCTGAAGTTGACTTTGTCTGGATRGTAGTATGGGATATGGCTTATGCCATTCTCTTTATGAACAGTAGTATCAATCCAATCATATATTTCTGGAGAATACAAGACATGCGAAATGCTGCTCTTCAATTGCTCCCATATGTTCGAAGAAACAATAACAATGAAAATGCTGAAAACGACATCTACGAATTACAATGAAAAAAAAAACAACATTAATCTTAATATCCAGGTAGAATTTGAGTAATTTCAACTAAATCGGAGTCTAAWACAGGCACCGCGGAGCCCAATAATCTGGCCGCCATTTTAGAAATATTCGTCCAATTCTCCAAAAATGTTCCGTCCCGATTTTTTTGCTACGCTCACTCATTCGATATCATTTGGACACTCGAAGATAAAATTCGTATCTCCGCACGCCCATGTAATATCCTCTATATAACTTTTTTTTTATAAAAATTCACAGTAGGCAAATTACGAAAATTTGAAACTAAAAAGTTATTATCCCTAGCTATATTTCGAGATACATTGTGGATAACTTTGCAGTAAATTAGTWTTGATCCGATAATTCGTACTGTTCATGTAGGTTATATTTCAACAATCATCTAAAAAATAAATTCTAGAAATAAACAATATGAATCTTTAACGTCACTGAGACTTCTGCGAAGGTTAACATACAATTAAATCTGCAAAATGAAACCGGCTGTCAAAACGGTTTCGGATTATACTGAAATCATGATAACTTTGAGACACTCAATTTAAGACAATGAGGAAGGGTATTTTACTATAATAGCGTAAATTGCAGAAAAATAGCGRGGATTGCACAGTGTAACATCTTTTGTCTCAACGGCATGGCGATACAAGTTGCTAAGAAAATTATAGCCCAATAGTCTTCTTCACGGTTTCCTTCGCCATCTTGAAACATACCGTGCCTTTGCATTGAAGCGATACGACCATTGAGCAGGTAATGATAGAAACCTTCTTTCGCACGCCTACAATTTATTCACAGGTATCTATCACTGCACGCTCAACGTTTGTCTCGCTTCGATATAATAAGCACGCGGTTACCTTTCAGTAGACCTGAGTTGCAAGTAGCACTTCGTGCAACGCTGTGCGCAGCCAAAAAAGGTCGAGATGACACCAGTTGTACTGTGCAATTCTTCAGCATGCAAAASCAGCCGACTATGTGCTTCTGTTTTTTGTGTTTATTTTTTGTTTGTTTTCGTATTTTCTCAATTATTGTCATTTTTTTTATTACGATGTAGCACCGCGGCTTTGTATCAATACAGTCTTTTATTCAAGATCTACAAATTCTCTACTTGTATAAATTCACATTATGTTTTCTATCTGCTTGACTTATGGTTAATGGCTAGTGTTAAATCAATGGTATAAATAAAACAGAAATATGAACTGTATTTACAATAGAAAAGGTTCATTTTCACAACACACCACATTGTTTGCACAAGCCCCRCGTACATTATAAACAACTGGGTTGTCACAATTATAGGTACGTTTAGTGGACTTATAGTCACCTAAGTGAAAAAAAAGTCAGTTTACGAAAGGCTACATGTACATCATGAAAGCTAAGACCGTAAGGGAGCTTCGGAAAGCAAATATTAAGAGTATAACAGTATCTCCGATTCAAAAGATCGCCTGTACTGAATATGATGGCCTTCTCCCGGGTGGGGGGGGCCTCCGGGGTAAAAGTACCGGGGATGCTCGTCGGAAATTCTCAAAAAGCCCTCTAAAAGATCCCGGAAGTCTTGTAAAAAAGGGCGTGGCTGACTAATTTTTAACCCCTAAGAGATTGCACAACAAATAATGTTAAATTAAATCAGTTCAAATGATAAAATGTACAAAATATTTAATGACAAAACAAAACGGGGAGAAAAAGTAATATCGATGCGCTCTTTTTCTTCTTTTCCGACACGCTAAGGGATTGCAGAAAATGCAAATTTCCAGAAACTCCAAATTGCCTCTATAAAAGATTCCCAATCACAAATTTTTACCCCTAAGAGATCCGACGAACATCGGTAGTTATGCTATAGAGCGAATTTCGTATGAGTGGGAAACGGACGGTACTGTACTGTGACCGTAATCGTACTGTAACCAAATTCTAGTGCCCCATTGGTTCACCAAAATTGTGCAGGCCAGGTGCGGTAACTGTGCGGTAACCATACGGTAACGGTGTCCCACTCATACGAAATCCGCTCTATGTAACATGGATTTGACTTTTTGAGTAGTTTCTGAATCTCCGTCAGTGTAATCTTTGATGACGTCACCATTCTGTGACGCAGACAACGTTAATTTCAATGAATGTATGTTTGTATGTGTATGTACAAGTGCGAAATTGCGTTTTCTTAATCTTCGACGTTCCCTCTAAGTGACATTTGATCTTTCATTTCGTCTAATTCTAAAACATGAAATAATGGATAATTWATCAACTAATTAATCAATTAATTGACTATTACTCCAATCAATCAATAATCGATAAGTCCATCCGTCCGTCCGTCAATCAATCAATCGATCAATCAATCAGTCCGTTCGTGAATCAATCAATCAACCAACCAACCAGCCAGCCAGCAAACTATTCAATTAACTTATAAATTTATTTAATGTCAACTGACCAATCAATTAATCAATAAATAAATAAATCAATTTAACAGTTGGCCAATCAATTATCAATCAATCGACAAATCAATCAATCATTCGGCCAATCAATCGGTTCAAAAAATCAATTAATTAATCAAGCACTAACTTTTCATCAAAAAACTCCTTWTTCTTTTGGCAAATCAATAATCGTTCGGTCAAACAATTAATAAAAAAATCAGTCGAAGAATGAATTCAAAAAGGGTTGATCAAAGAGTTTTTGTCAAATGAGTTACTCAATCATTGGATACATTCATATTAAAATACATGTACATTTGTAGATCATCCTATAAACTGATCATTCTGTAAATAACAATTTGAGGGAGTACCTTGCTGCAGAGACTGGTTCTCCTGCATAAGTTCTTGGTTCCGCGTCGATAAAAACACGGCATCTTGTATTGCCTCTTCCAGCAGTGTACGATAACGCTGCTCAATCCCTGCCTTTTGTTCTTCAAAAACCTCGCGATAGTTTCTGAACGTCTAGAGATAATGGTATAAAAATGAGCTTTTTAATGTTTCTTAAAAGCTCTTTTTAGTTTTAAAACTAATTAATTGTTGCAATTCATGACTTTCACAAACGGCGTGATATGTCACGGTCGCTGACCAGGGCATTGGGGACGAAGCACTAAAACGAGGTCTCAAAGACTAGCCTCCGTATAGTAAACCTCTATGATGCCTTGCAAGAGTGTTTTGTTATAAATAACATACCAGTACATCTTAAAAGCTTTTTAACACTGCCTGCATGCAATCTTCGCAGTGAATTTTTAGATGTAAGGCCTTTGAGGTCTCCTGTCTTATTATTTGTCACTAGTCGACCCTCAACATTGGCGGTCGTGAACTACCGCCATTTTTGTCGTGTATGGGACCCCCCCCCCCCCCCCCCCCCCCCCCCCCCCCCCCCCCCCCCCCCCCCCTCTACGTTACGACGAAGCCACCACCTTTGACTTGCTCTTTCCAACACTGATTCGCTCACTATATCTTGATAGTATTGTAAACAAACCTGGAAGTGCTGAAGCTGCTGGATCTCCATTTCTTCTTTATGATTTTTGTAGGCTTCTTCTAAGTTTGCTTTGAGCTTCTTTTTATCATTTTCTAAAGCAGAGATCTAACAAAATAACAAATAATATTACTATGCATGAACAAAAATAAACAAAACAAAACAAAACAATTGATAATTATTATGGAGTGAGGTTTAAAACTCACGCCTAGGGCAATATTGGTTAGCCGAGCCTCACYCTTGACAAAAAACTATGGTAGAACTGTACTGTTGCATTGTCAGCAGCTTGGATAGATTCAGTAATACACATTCAACTTACCCTCATGGACATGATGGATCTTTCAGCCTTGAGTTCCACTATTTCCATCTCCAGCTTGATGGCCTGGTCAGCGGTGTACTGAGCGCCCTCAGCTGCCTTTAGCTATTGCAAACAAAAACAAGAACAAAATATTTAATCGTTTGATCTCTGCTTTTAAATGAAATATGTATTGTAAAATTTTGCATAGTAGAAGAATAAACTAACACTATTTTTTTCTTATTGGTGCTGAATGAAGTACTGTTGTTATTGTTGTTGTTGTTGTTTTAGAGACCATACTTTTACCTTTAATTCAGCTTTTTCTTGTTCGATTTCCAGTTTAATCCTATCTATTTCATCAGCCAATGTTTGAGCATTTTCTTTCTCGACTCTTTCACGTTGCTCGGTCTGTAAAACAATGAGATTTAAAAACCAAGAAGTTTGAAGATGTGAAGAATATAATGACAATAATAATAACGATAGTGAAGATGATTATGATGATGGCGGTGTTGTGACAACCACACATTATWAGGCAACCAAAATTGTTGGATCGTCAAGCAAATTCTTGAGTAGCCAAACCTCTCCATACTACACTACCAACATGTTTAATACACCTTACAACACTACCAAACAATGTAGTTGCCCAAAAATGCTCAGGATTTTGATTTACGGGGCGGCGGGGTGAATTTCCGTTTCATAATCAGTGGTTGCCACTTGAAACAGTCATTTCATTTATTCAGTAACGTTGCTCTCATCGAGAACGGTCGTTGMCTTTATTCAAAACGTCAGTGCCATCGAGAACGGTCGTTACCAACGAACGCTCCCCATGAATCTTTAGTGATGGCATGTGATAGTCATTTTGATGAATTCCTTTTTGTTGGAAATTTGTGGCGGGGGAAGACATGTTGTAAAAGAATAATAGATGTTTTCCGAAGACGAGACAAAGATATCTCTGATAATGACCACAATAAATAAATCCATTTATCATCATACAGCTCTAAGAATGTTAACTTGAATCGGGCAACCGATGATAYAAAAGYCTTCACCTCTAGTTTATGGCGCAGCTCAGAGTTGCCTTTCATGAACGAAGTTTGGGTTTTTACTTCCTGCAAGTAAAACAAATAAATAAAAGATAARGGAAATGACTGATTTAACGGGCAGCAATAAATTCGACCAAAATCTGAGAAAATCGTTGTCGATTCTGCTGTTGAAAGTTGTTAATGTTATTTGTCATTGTACTCATCCATCAGTAAGTTACTTCATCAAGCTCTTCCTCATCTTTACCTCTTTCTCTGCTTTTTGTTTTTCCTGRATTTCTTTCAGTTTGTGTTTRATCTTTTTCAGCTCGTCATTTTCTCCTTTGAGCTTTTCTTTGATGTTGTGGATGGTGGACACCATTGTTTTTAATTCGTCTTCGCTCCCTTTGCCTGTTGAACATAAAATATTAATATAATCATTTCATATATATAGAAGACAATGGATTCGAACTATTTGGCACAACGATTTTGCTATTTGCTGTTATTCAGTTTAGTACTAGAGGAGTGAATCTAATATATCTATCTATCTCTGACTAAGTGAAGCTATTAACCTATTTAAGAATATCTACGTACTTACGACTCAGATCTAAATTGTTGTATTCTGGGTACTTGAGTGATAAGATACTAACCAGACTCCGTGAGTTTCGAGTACTCCGTGATTTTATTTTGAAGGTCGTCCTTAAGTTCATCCACAAGCTTTCGCTTTTCTTTGAATTCTGTGGTTAACTACAAGAAAACGCCGGGTTCTCCATCATTACGTTCTCCACCATAGTCAAATAAACAAACACAAACAAACGCACAATTGGGTTAAAGGGAGGAAGGAAGGAAAGAAACTGGGATAAAATAGGAAAGGAAGGAAAAGAGATCGACGCGTTACCTCATCTTTTTCCTTCTGAAGGACCATTAGTCGTTCTTGAACYTCTTTGTTGTCTCTCTTCATTGTGTCCATCACCCAGTCAAGAATTCCCTTCAATGGACAAAAATACTTATTTTTCAGAACCATCTTCCATCCGAGTTAATATCAGTATTTCCCGTCTACCTTATTTGCCAAGTTTAATCTTCTTTCTTCATCATAGTTTTCAGAAAGTCTCTCTTTTTCTTCCCATGTTTGCCGTTTTGCTGTTTGCAAATCTTTGATCAACTCCTATAACAAGAGAATAAAATCATTTAACATTTTCAAACCATGCAAATGATTTGTGATATAATCATGTAATTAATTAAGCGGCTTCTGACCTCCATTTGATTGACATCGTCTTTATTCGGACCACTTGTTACACCARTTTTAGACAGCTTTTCTCTTAGCCTTGTAATCTCCTCTCTTAAGTCTTTGATGATTTTGATATTTTCAATCTAATTTACAAGACAATGGATGCATAAATACAATGAAAACAAAATCGACAGTGGATWAACTAATACACAAAAAGATTAAACACTTGAAATAGTTAATATACATGAGCTGACAACTGGCAAGACCTTGTCTCGAAGGCGTCGCGGCTAAAGGGAGGAGAGGAAGGGAAAGGGAGAGCGGCCATAAAGGCTTGGATTTGCAGGATCAAATAACAGGCATATACAACTAGAACGAGAGGAATAATTGTTTTATCATCATCCAAACCAGTTGATCTTATGCACACATCAATACTTTATTTTCGCGTGCRCTAACATCTAGATATAGCCGCCATTTTAATTTTTTACTACTAATGGAATATGAAGTCATATCCTAGCAGTAGAGTAGCCAATCAGAGCAAGTGTTTGCCCATATCCATTGSTTTTGAAAATAAAAAAATAATACTTGTGTAAGAATAAACGGGTTGGATTGATTGCTAAGGWAATTTACGTACTTCATTTGTTTTGGTCATGTTTCTTATGCTTTTGACTTTATTCCCACATTGCAGACTGGCCAATGTCTCTTCAAAATCTGCGTCTATACAAATACATTTTAAAAACAATATTKCAGAACAAGTTTAACACTAAAAATAACAAATAAAAATGACAAAACAAATACAAAAAATGGAAAACGAGAGTACAATTATACCCACCAGCAGGCGATACAGTTACTAGCATCGTTGTAAGTGAAGTTCCACCAAGGGAATCCTACAATTTAAGATAAGCTTCGTTTAATTTATGTTTAAGAGTTTTAAACTTTATCTCAAATTTCAAATTTGATTTCCGTTAATATATGCTTGTTTTGAGGATTCATAAAACGTTTTCACTGACACAAACTGCTTTGAGTCGCCTTGAGTACAGCTTTTATGCTCTTTAGTTTTCATCTCCCTTAAATTTTGGCATTTTATATAATGCTCAAACATATCGAAAAACCTTAGCGCTATTTTTTCACGTACATATTTAAGAAAAATCGCCATCTTTGATTTTGAACCTGTCAGAAATCCACTTTCAACGGCATATCATTTTCAAAAAAAATGAACGATCACAAAGAGTCTTGGACGCGCGTGAGTCTTCATAATACAAACCTGTAGAATTCTGGTGATTTTGGAATCCCTGTAAGGAATGTGGCCTTCTTTTCTACTGCTCGCTGCCAAACTGCTGACAACTGCATTAAATGCATTAACTCTGAAATAATATAATGAAAACAAAACTGATATTGTACTTTATTGATTCGACAAATAAGCATGCGTTGATGCGTAGACTAGAACAGTGAGCCATACGTTTGACATGATTCGTTTTGAATTCAAAAGCCACGTGACTGATCTCATAACATCAATCATTATAAAGCCATTTGAACGATGATGGACTAGAACGCATTGCTCAGTTTGCTATCGCTTTCATAATTTGTAAAAGTAAAGAAAGCCCTGAATATATAAGAATGAAAATACGCTACGCATTGTGGGAAATGTGGTAACAGTACGTCATAAGGCAATTATAAGSCTTTGGTTTTGATACAAAAGTGCAGATTTATTTATATTTATGTGATTTATTCATTAAATAATTTGTATTTGAGGCGGTTTTTTTTCCTTCTTTGGAAACTATTTAATTTTCGGATAAGTTCGAAGCGCAATCTGCGATGATATCGTAATTTCAGAAATGCGGCAAAGAGTCAAGGCTAGTTTTAAAAGTCCGCAGCAAGAAAACTCTTTCATTATCAAGTTCACCTTATATTATTTTTAAAAAAATGACGATAAGACAGGTATGGCTCACCCTTTGTTGAAGAACACTGCACCCTGCTTGACGGATATCTCGGCACCATCGGACCTCTCTGAACCTACAAGTCAGTGAAGATAGATGTTTTAACAAAAAAAGACTTTACAAAAAAAGACTTACAAATAGCATAGAAAAAAAGAGGATTACGTGTAGATTCAATAATTGCTAATTTACCCAATTAAAAATGGCTTACATTAACCTGAAATAGTTTATATATGAAAATATACATGATGTAAGAAATGATGTAAGTATTTAACAATTAGACCTTGAGGGCGAGAGATTTTTCATTAATTGTTTTAGTATTACCATACTAGTTGGACAAAAAGTGAATGAAATATATAAATTAAATGCTTTTATTGCTAAAAATACGCAAAAATTTGTCGCCTTCCGCTAGTCGAAGACTATTGAAAATAGACYCCGAGTAGCGTAGCCAATCAGAACGAAGGATTTGCAATAGTCCACTGGTATGGTAATACTAAAGATAGATATAATCGCAAATCAGGTCACATTGATTATTACCAGCCATATCTGCCAATATTATCTTAGAACGTATTCCTGTTCCAGGTGAGCCATTGTCAGTATGTCTTTGCTCTACACTTATTGTAAATATACTGCTTGATCTGTTGAGAAATACATGCAATGAGCATCTTATTGGAGTATAAAATGACGAGGCTTATCATAGACAATAACCAAAATAGGTCTCTGCGCCATCTTAAATGTTACAAACCATGTCTTTGCAAGAGATCGACGACCGGTGAGAGGGCAATGACAGAAACACTTGTTCACACTCACAGACAATTATTCACAGGTGTCAATACGTTTTAAGATGTCGCTGTCAACCGTGAGGTATATGGTAAACTTTCCGAATAGATTTCTGAAGCTTTTACGTCATATACTGTATATGCAATGAATTGTAGGTTTCTTGTTGTCAGATTTCTTTTGTTTTCTCCACAAACTGATCCCACAATGCAATTCATACCAAGTACAGTAGGTGACGTGAAGCTTCAAATCTATAAGCCCGAATTAGAAGGCACAACTTTTGCCTACAACCATCGCATGCAACCTGCGTAAGTCATCCTTACAACATATAGCTACAACTGTCGTATGGATTTAAAACAATTGCTTAATAGCCCCACGACAGTTGTAGCCAYATCGTAAGGATAACTTGCGCAGGTCACTTGCGATGATTGTAAGCACAACTTGWGTCCTCTAATTCGGCCTTTACGGCCAAATTCGCTGCTAAGATTTGTGTTTTGTTTAATGAAATTCCGTRTACCATTTTTTAATATGTTTTTGATGGGCTTTACCTTGAAGCATTAGGACTTTTGTCATTAGAAGCAAGTTTTTTCACTCTGTTTCCCTGTTCATACAATCTTGCAATGTCATCTGCATTCTGAACGACAAGCTCAGCCAAGCCTTCTACGTATCTGATAAAGTAACGATTAGAAAAACAACAATAATTATAATGATACAATCATGGAAAAGGGGACTCTCCCTGAGTGGGCGTCTGGTACCACATGTGTTCAAACGCGCTCAACTTTTTACCACATGTGTTCAAACGCGCTCAACTTTTTATGTCAATCATTGTGAGTAAAAAAAGAATAGACAAAATAAGAGAAAATAAACATTTACATGTACATAGTAAAAAAAGAATAGACAAAATAAGAGAAAATAAACATTTACATGTACAATTGAAAACGTCGTTTATTATCCSGAATCGCGACTAAAGTGGAATCTCAACTTCCGTCTCGTAAACGAA